AATATTATGGGCAATCAGAAATCATTTAAGGTGTTACCGTAGCAACATGCTAGACCAAACTCTATTGAAATAAATTGCGTGATCAGTCTCGGTGTGCTTCATGTAAGGAATTAGCTAAACTGGTCACTTATAAGGTTTCAATTCAGAAAGGACGCTGCCTCAGAAGGTACTAGATAGTAAGAAGCTCACTAGGTTTTGCATTAAATGTGGCATTTTTTTTAATAAATAGCTTGTAAATTGTACCTGGAAGAAGAGGGTCCTCTATACAAAGCATGGAGGGCCTGTAGCCATTACTCATGGCCTTCATGATGTCCTCTTTAGCCATGTAAGCACCACCATTCTTTATCCTGATGCCGGTCTTCAGGTAGTTGAAGTGTCTTCCATACAGCTCAAAGAACTCAATGAGCAGAATGCCAAGGTTCATGTTGGGATTCTTGGCATCAATTCTTGGGTGTAACTGCAAGTGAAACCAAAATTCAGCAGGCAAGTCGAGACATTCGCTTTATTTGCTTGGCACAGTCATTTATTAAATTAGCATGGCTGATGAGGTCAAACAAAGGTATGAAAATATGCTTGACAAAGACGGATCTTCAAATAAGACAAGAACAAGTTATTTTTGATGTGAAACACTATGGTCCTTCCCATCGCTTAAATGTCGAAACATGCTTGAGAACTTAGACGTCTGCTAAATGTTGCACCTGTAAGAAGCTGATGACCATCAGTATGAGACTGTAGGAGCTGATTCCTCCTGTGAAGACTTCATTGAGGTCTCGCTGTAGCAGGAACTGTTTCAGCACGAAGATTAAATAAGGCAGCACGGTATACTTCTGTGTGGGAGGGAAAACAAGACATTTAAGACTTTAAAACATGAAAAAGACAGTTAACACCAGGCATTAAGAAGCAATTCAAAGGCGACTCCGTGACCACTTGAGATTTCAAAGATTTCACCATTCTGGTCTTTCTACGAAAACAGTGTCAAAACATGTTGACATCAGGAATATCGAACGCGTTTCTGTGAAGTCTTTCAAAAGCCTAAAACATGGCAAGTGCATATGCAGCTGTCTTTCACCAGAGATAACATCCAGCTGTTCAGAAGCAGCAAAAATATTTACATGAGATAATGTGTTATGATAACTGGAGACAGGCCAATAATTCTCACATTTCTCCATGTAAGTTCGACATCATCTTAAAGACTGCGGGGTCTCGTTCTCTAAAGATGCGTCTAATTGAGAGTATTCTTGTTATTCCTCCCCAGTGGGAGTGTATGGCACCCTTATGAACCATGGATAGGAGAATGATGAAATTTGGCATATTTATTGGGGTGGTTTTGAATAAAACCCTGACCAAATTTGGGATCTTTCGGACCAAATTTAGAAATAATATTCACTTTTCTTTTGTCATATAAACTAAATTCTTATTTCACCCGACCTAACATTAACACCCATTACAGTAATAGTCATTTTAAAATGTATTGCATTCATGTAGTTTCCTTTGGCTCAGATGATCCCTGGACCGAGCCACACATAAATTAATATTTTACTTTTATTTCAAAAGTTATGATGGGAAGTCAACCCAAATTTAGATTAAATGTTATTCCCAGCAATACTGAGACCCATCAAAGAGAAACTTGGTACACTTCGTCAGCACCACAATTTGTGGGTGGTGCCGTTCCAAAATATTATTTTGCCAGGAGGGGATGAACCACCTGTCTGTGTCTGCCATTTTGAAATTTGTTTTATGATATATTTAAACGCTTTGGCATATTGGCCCAAACACCTGTGCCTAAAACAAACGTAGACAACACTACCTAGTTTGGCTTTTTACAAAAACATCTTCGAACTTAAAAAAAAAAGAAAAGTCTTCCTTGATTTATACCAATTTCAACATCTTATTTGTCATTTTGCAACATTTTGCTCACCCGCCATTGCTGACGGATGTTAAAGTTATGCTTTCCCCTCCTCCTCGCTCCTTTAGTCAAACAATGACACTATAAGACTGACACAAGAAGATAATCGAGTAAATCTAGCCCTAGAACATGTAAATACAAGCAGGATCCAAAAAAAAGTAAAGTTACGTTTTGCCATTTAGCAGTTTCAGTGGCAAATGAACTGAAAAAATATTGAAGCATTTGTATAAGTATTTTACATATCACACAAATCTGCTCCCCTCGTCCATATTTCGGACAAACAGCACGTCATAACCAGCATCACACACACACAGACTCAGTAGTCAGTTGGAAAACACCACTTTTCACAACATCAAGACTACTGAGGAACACTTCCTATGCTATGACACCCAATGTACAATGTCCTAAGAATAGCATCTATGCTAATGTTAGTCTGTCTGTCTCTCATCCTTATCCCGAGGTTACCGTAGTCAGCCGGATCCGGTCCAGATCAGATGGTGGATCTGCACCTAGACGCGACCAAAACACAGCCCTGATTGTCTACTAGACAATCCCCTGTGAAGGCCTCGTTGACACGACAGCCATCGGCACAGATCCTCAGCAAAGAACTAGACAGGTCCTCCACACAGACCCTATGGCCAGCTTCGGCTCCATACCGGCATGTCGAATCTGATCTTCAAGCAAAAGGAACTGGATGAATATTTGAATGCTACCTATCTAAATTCTGACATGTGATGCAGCCTGAATCATAATGACACCGTGTTCGTTCTTTGGCCACAGTGGAACTGGCCCCCCGACTGAGCCTGGTTTCTCCCTTGTCATCCTGTTGGAGTTTTGGTACCTTGCCACTGTCGCCTCTGGCTTGCTTATTTGGGAATACTTCATATTCAACAATATCTGACTCACTCAAAAATTAGCTATAGATTACCTTCACATATTCTTTGATGAAGCTAGCAGCTTTGATGCCCGTCTCCACGTTGAAACTGATGTCCACTTTCACCTCAGTCTCCTGATCTGTCAGTTTGATGATTGGTACCTTCAAAATTCAAAGATATAAATAGAAAATAATGAATTGCCAAGAAACTCAGAAAAAACAAAAACAACCTCTGCATATTAAACATTTAAACTGAGTTTAGCAAATCTCAAATCGACAGAAGAGGGAAAGATACATACCGTAGCTTTGTCGAGAACTTTGATTGAATAGGGTTCTGCCACACTGTGTTTTCTGAGGGCCTGCTCCAACTGCTGCAGGGGAGGTTTCTCCCATTTCCCAAACACCACCAGGTCAATGTCACTACGGTAAAAAGAACCAGATAGAATCTTTCATATAGGCAATTTGTTAAATCTGCAATCCGCAGGTTATCCTCTTTGTCGCCATCTCTGTTCGAAATCTGCAATTGCAATCATTTACAGAATTATAACCTTTACGCGAGTTGTACTTCGACACCCTCGACACGGCACAGTGTGGATGAACACGATGTTTGAGGAGAGTGTGCAGCTGCCGGTGTGGATACTGGCATTCAGAATGACAGATTATTCCTTTTGGAAGTATGACTAACATAACAATTTTCACTGGAAAATGTCATCTGAACTAGTAAGAAAAATCCACTTTTGTTCTGGTTCTGACATATCAGTAAATCACACTGATTAAATCTAACAATCGCTTATAAGTTATATCATGCAAAACTGAACAAATTATACTTTGTTCTCAAATTGTCGATATTTATCCTTGTTTGCTGTCCCTTTGTTTCTGAGCTGTTTTAACTGTAAGCAACTTGCACTGACAAATCTTAAATTCACTGCCATTGTTTTGTGACTTAAATGTCCTAATTGAACCAAGGCCTAATCCTGGCTTAATCTAAACTCTGTCTGTGAAACTGGGCCATAGAGTTAGCAATTTGCAATTGATGATAAAATGTTTGCTCAGTTCCTGAAAGAAAACTCAGAGCCAAAAAAAGGCAAGCATGCTATGATTGTGATGTATTTGGTCACATCCATTTCTTTCTTGACAGTCATCTTACTGAGAGTAGTGTTATGACCGTACAGCAACAACAGGTCACAAAATGGCTTAGGGATCGGTTCAAAATATCACTGTTGTGTTAATATGCAAGATTAAACACACATGTTCATTTACCTGGTTGGGAGAAAGAGTCCAGTGCTAAAGCTGCCAAAAACCTGGACCTAAGTACATAAAAGTAAAAACAAGTACATTTGTATATTTGGACTAATAATTTTATATTTATATTTTACACACACATTTCTAAGTTTGCTTACATCAGCGGTAGGCCACAACTCCTTGATGACTGACTCTATCCTGTCCACCACCTCCTGTCTCATGGTGGCCTCCTCAGGACGAGGAGACATAAAATTGTAAAAGTCCATGATTTCTTCATGCAACCTTCGAAAAAAGAAGGAAGGAAATTATGGGAATGAAGTAATTTCATTAAGAAGCCATCACATAAAAAAAACTCATGAAACAAGAATCTTGAGATTTGTTTTTATAGATATGTAGGTAACGCATTATGTAGGTAACCCTAATCACTTAAAAACTTAACCAAACAGAAAAAATGAGAATAAGAATGGTGAAACGCAAAATTTAGTGCAGTGGTTAATTAAAATGGGTTAAATACACTCACCTAATGGATTATTAGGAACACCTGTTAAATTTGTTCAACGCAATTATCTAATTAACCAATCACATGGCAGTTGCTTCAATGTATTTAGTGGTGTGGTCCTGGTCAGGACAATCTCCTGAACTTCAAAGTGAAAGTCAGAATGGGAAAGAAAGGTGATTTAAGCAATTTTGAGCGTGGCATGGTTGTTGGTGCCAGACGGACCGGTCTGAGTATTTCACAATCTGCTCAGTTACTGGGATTTTGACGCACAACCATTTCTAGGGTTTACAAAGAATGGTGTGAAAGGGAAGAACATCCAGTATGCGGCAGTCCTGTGGGCGAAAATGCCTTGTTGATGCTAGAGGTCAGAGGAGAATGGGCCGACTGATTCAAGCTGATAGAAGAGCAACTTTGACTGAAATATCCACTCGTTACAACCGAGGTATGCAGCAAAGCATTTGTAAAGCCACAACACGCACAACCTTGAGGCGGATGGGCAGAAGACCCCACCGGGTACCTCTCATCTCCACTACAAATAGGAAAAAGAAGCTACAATTTGCAAGAGCTCACCAAAAGTGGACAGTTGAAGACTGGAAAAATGTTGCCTGGTCTGATGAGTCTCAATTTCTGTTGAGACATTCAGATGGTAGAGTCAGAATTTGGCGTTTACAGAATGAGAACATGGATCCATCATGCCTTGTTACCACTGTGCAGGCTGGTGGTGGTGGTGTAATGGTGTGGGCGATGTTTTCTTGGCACACTTTATCGTTTAAATGCCACAGCCTACCTGAGCATTGTTTCTGACCATGTCCATCCCTTTATGGCCACCATGTACCCATCCTCTGATGGCTACTTCCAGCAGGATAATGCACCATGTCACAAAGCTTGAATCATTTCAAATTGGTTTCTTTAACATGACAATGAGTTGACTGTACTAAAATGGCCCCCACAGTCACCAGATCTCAACCCAAAAGAGCATCTTTGGGATGTAGTGGAACGGGAGCTTCGTGCCCTGGATGTGCATCCCACAAATCTCCATCAACTGCAAGATGCTATCCTATCAATATGGGCCAACAATTCTGTAGAATGGTTTCAGCAACTTGTTGAATCAATGCCACGTAGAATTAAGGCAATTCTGAAGGCGAAAGGGGGTCAAACACAATATTAGTATGGTGTTCCTAATAATCCTTTAGGTGAGTGTAATTAATTGATTCATGAACCTTGACATTTGGTTCCCCTCAATGTAGAACATCTGGGGAGCTTTGATGAGCGGAGAAGATTTTTATTAGTTGTTTTTTTTTAAAAATTCTCTCTCTCTCATTCAACACTTGTAGTCTATCCTGAACCAATGTCTCTGAATTTAAACTAAGCTAATTTATAGTTACTTACAGGCTAACTCACAAAACAAAATAATTGGGAGTAAACAAAAAAAAAAACCTCAAATCAAACAGACTGCTACGAATTATAAAACGCAGCCTATACTTAACAGCCTTTTGCACCTATACACAAAAATGCTGTCTAGTACTAGATAGGCAACTCACAAGGTTGAGAGACACAGTTCCAGCCTCATTTGTTTCAAGAATCTTTTGATCTACCGCACTTTAAAGGATTAGTTCACTTCAGAATACAAATTTCCAGATAATTCTGATCATTCTTTCTTCAGCAGAAAATAAATTAATTTTAATCTAGGATTTTAATCTTAGGATATCTCTCCTTATAGTGGACTTCAGTGGGGGTAGAACAGTTTGAAGGTCCAAATTGCAGATTCAAAGCAGCTTCAAAGGGCTCTCTCAACGTGATTACATAATGCAAGATGAACATTTGTGGTTAAACTAATATCTTAATTATTTTTAAATATAAATGGCCGATCGTTTCGTTAGATAAGACCCTTATTCCTCGGCTGGGATCGTGTCGAGCCCTTTGAAGCTGCTTTGAAACGGCAATTTGGACCTTCAAAATGGTGATTCCTGTTGAAGTCCACTAGCCTATATAGAGAAAAATCCCGGAATGTTTTCCTCAAAAACCTAAATTTCTTTTCGACTGAAGGAAGAATGGCATGCCATGAACATCTTGGATGACGTGGGAGCGAGAAAATTATCAGGAAATTTTAATTCTGAAGTGAACTAGGCCTAATCCTTTATTCCTTGGTGCAACCCATCCTAAATATTTTTCACGTTAAGCATTTTAGAACGTCGAGATGTTTTTAAGGACTGCAGCAGGTGCTGTACATGGATCACAAGTGCCAAAAAACTTGCATCTTGTTCACATATTTGTGTTTTTGAGATGGAAAAATTGATAGGCTTGTTGGGTTTTGCGCTCCAGGGCTCCGCAACAGCCACGTGACTGAAAACTATGAATTGAGGTTTTATCATCAGATTAGAACATGACAAACATTTGCCAAACAGGTGAACATTTCACCATTTAATATTACAAGTTTTGTCTACTAGAACTGCACATTTGACAGTAGCTGGACTTGGGGAAGCAGCTGTAAATGAGTTCATTGAAAAAAAAAACAATATCATCTGTAAAAATTAACAATACACACATATACACATAAAGGCCTATATATTAGGAGTGTAAAAATATATCGTGCCATAATATCTCGCAACACAAAAATGCATCAATTAGTAACGTGGTTATTCACCCAAAAAAGAACATTTGTGTGACAAAATAAATAAATAAATAAATAATTCAAGTTTACAGAGTTTTAGTGTCAGTATTACATTAAACTACTATATATTATGTCGAATATAATACTAATAGGTAGTAGTATGTCCTGCTGATACTGCAAAATATCAGTAAATCAATAATCAATAAATGTTACCAGTAAAAAAGTGTGCTACGTTATATTAAATATATCTAGCAATTGACAGAGTGCAAGCATATTCATCTAAAAAATACATTCTGTATTTTTAGCTTCAGAATCGTCAATATTTTTATTCTGGTTTAACCATTGTCCCTTTCATTGGGTTACCTGGACTAAGTCCAAGTCTATTCATTTCCATCCCCAATGTAAATCAAATTTAGCATTTTAATCAACAGTATTTTTTGTTGTTAACCTTTTACCATATGTCTCGGAGTAGCCTATAGTAAATAGCTTCACGTGTGTGAGTTCAGTGATATGTATCGAATAGTGACATGAGGGTATCGTTACACTCACACACACTTAAATTTCTCGAATGAGAATAATCGCGATTTTCGGTTATCGTGCAGCTCACAGTAGATCTGTCGTTAGGTTTATACAAGATAGGATATTGTATAAAATCAAATTCGCTCACAGAGAAAATTAACAATTTTTTTCCCTAAACCTGCCTTTTGCACTTAATAACGTCCCAAAACGCCTACAATTTTAAGCCTTATTAATAAGAATGTTTATTGCAATATGATGTGTGTCTGCTATGATTCTGTGCAAAATATCTTAAATAAAATGTACATCTATGCTTCTTAATTCAGCGAATCAGTGGGTGAACCTACAACGTAACTCCGAAGGATTCGTGAATGAATCGTACAGACCGGAAGAGATTCGACTCGAAAGAACGATTCGTTGACGAATCGGACATCGTCGCTAGCCTACTACTGCTAACACACGCACAGTCACACTCACACAATCATAACACATTCCACAAGTGACCCAACCCACCAAACATGGGACTACCAGCTATCGTGCTAAAGCTAATGTCCCAGTAAAAGGCCCAGTGACACTTTATTACACACAAAAGGCCACAGGAAAAAATAGCGTAACATTATAACGAGCGCTGCTCCTGTTATAAATCAAACTCATCTCACCCGTCAACCCCTGGGTTATATTTCCTCGTCTTCCACGGCGTGCCGGAGTTCCCATAATTGCTGTTACTAGTCCAGTTGGAGAGCAAGTAGTTTATCCCATAGGTGCTGGCCTTATTATCGCTTTTCCTCCGGCCTGGATGATGGTGGTGGTGATGGTGGGTGTGAATCGCTGCCGGATGGGACGGGTGGCGCTTCATGCAACTCTGCTGATGCTGCTCTTGATTGAAATGCCGTAGATGAGGAGGATGGTGCTGATGGTTGACATTATTCAACACGTTCTCGCTGCAAGTAAAAAATGGATGGCCCTTGTTCATATTATTCCCAGCGATCGCATTAGCGCTTGTAGTCCTTATTTTAGAGCAACTGGACGCCGAATCCACCACCGAGCCGGTCTTTTGGGTCATATCGCCGTCTCCCGTGTTTCCATTTAACGGGTGAGCCACAGAGCCGCTACCCGGGATCGCAGTGCTGTTGTTTTTAATGATAGTGCTGTTATTCGCATTGGACGCTACAGTCTTATAAACGTCATACGCAGGATAATTGACACAGAGGTGGTTGTTGTGGTGATGGTGGTTCTGGTGCTGACCTGTGCTAGTCCGGTTTACCTGAGACGTTTCCCACACACGCATCCATAAAGCGTTCGCAGGACCTTTCTGTTCCGGCTGAATCCAAGCGACCCTCGGATCCATTCAACTTGTCTTTCTAACAGCCCTGTCAAACAAACAAACGCCTTTTCCCCCCGTTCAGCGGATAAGTTTGAGTCCGGACTGCGAGAATGTGCCTGTAAACTGGGTTGCGCGAGACGACAGGGAAAATAACGACGTGTCAAACGCCACAACGGGAATCAGTTAGTGGCTCTTTTCCCCCCGCTAGCTAAACTGTTAGCTAAACTATACAGTGTTTCCAATATGGCGTATATTCCCTTGAACCCCGAAATCCAGTACGCATGTGTAGGATTTAAACTATCGGAGCAGCACACACCCCCACAACAACTCCTCACCGAGCAGGCGCAATCGGAGCCTATTCAGCAACCCCACCCTTCTAACCGGCATCCAAGCGAGGACACATTTGAATTTACAACCTAAATTAATATTGGGTCTACTCCGTGACTCCGCGGCGACGCGATAAAACCATAGAACGCAGCGGCGCGCTCAGTGAGCAGTGACGAGTCCGACGGTAGCTTCATGATTATAAATGGCCGCGTTCCTGTTGATGTGCGCAATAAAAGCTCATGAAAAGCTTCAAGAATCTTTTCATATCATAAAGTTGCTTTGGTATTTTATATTATACAATGTTGCATTGTCAAATATTGTGGAAAATGCAAAAATAAGTGGACATCTACTATTTAAAAGTATGTAAATGGTCTGTTTTTGACTATTTTTGAGATAATAAAAACTGTTTTGGTGGCTAATCTTACTTCAAGGTAATCAAACTTCAAGTCAGTAATCGAAGGTCTAGACGGATTTTTTTTTTAAAAACTGTAGGCCTACTTTTGCTGAAATTCTTAAAAGAAAAAACAAAAGAGAACTTTTATCAATAGAAACTATGGCCTTAAAAAAAATCTAGAGATTAATCATAATTAATTGTTTTGATGTATTAACAATAAATACATTTTTTAATAATTATGATTAATCTGATTTGTTTGATACATTCTTCTATTAACAAAAAATTAGTTCCTGATCAAGCTGAAAACCAATATTTTAATGGTAAATACAATGGTAAGCAAATCCTTAAAGGGATAGTTCACCCAAAAAAAAAGAAAATTCTGTCATCATGTACTCACCCTTATGTTGTTCTAAACCTTTATGAGTTTCTTTCTTCTGTTGAACTAAAAATAAGATATTTTGAATAATGTTGATAATTAAACATTGACGATAGTAAGAAGGGGAAAAATACAATGAAAGTCAATGGCTACCGTCAACTGTCGGGTTACCAGAATTTATTTTTGGGTGAACTGTCCCGTAAATTAATTTTTTAAAAGATGTACGCAGAAATATGCAAAAGCAAGCAATGCCAGTCTGATAAAACTGAAAAATAATGCAATCATTTCAAGGAAGTAAAACAATTTCACACTCTAATTTGAAATCGATTTTCCTTTTATTCCAAATGACATTAAGCAGCAAGACTGGAAATAAAAGCCAAGCCTAAATGTTAAATTGCCATCTTGCTTTTTAGGAAAGAACAGGGTTTCTCTGTTGGTAATAATAAATCGTAATCTGACATGCTGAAGAGAGCAGATAAGCTCCTCCCACGGTGATTACGCAAGGAGTGCTTTGCTTTCAGCTCACGTGCAGCATGTGTGTACGGTGTGGGAAGCCCCTCACGGTCAGAACAGACATCTTGTGTGCTCATTGTTGTCACGGCACATGCAGAAACGCAGAGATCGTTAATAATCCATACAGCAGATTGTGCATACTGCTGCTCTTCAGTGTTATAACAAGCATTACTCAAAAGCTAAAACCCAAGTGAGGGGGTTGCTCTGTGTTTCAAAAGGTCATGTATGCGTGCAATGTTGTCTGCAGGGGAATTTCATCATTGCTTTGCCTGGGGCTGGGGTTATTTATCCAAAAAAAAAAAAAAAAAAAGGTCTGACAGATTGCTCACTGCCCCACCTGACTCAACCAACAGATTGACCATGAACATCTGAGAGGACTAAACTAGGATATTTTTTTGCCTCAAGTATGTCTGAGGCACATGCTGAAATAAAAGGAAAAAAAAGAGGAGCTAAACTATTAAAAAGATGGATAATAAGGTATATTATACAATTGTATAAAATACTTATTTCACACAGTATTACAGAACAGACAACGGGATATTTAGAAGCAATTTACATGACCTTCCACATTCCATAGTAAATGAACACTTTCCCTGCTGACATACAACACACAACTTGCCATATTTCATACGTTGTGCCTGAAGGTATTATGAGAGCCCACCTGCAGCATGTCAAAACATGTCAGCGATGGTAAATGATGATGTTACAAGCATAACTTATACAAAAGCAGTTGTAGCTATGGGAATGAAGAATCCATGAGACTGTGACAATATTGTTGTACATTCGATGTAGTAAAGATAGTAGTATTATGGTAAATTTAGCATGACTTGCATATAAACATACAGTAATTATCTTACAATGACATAAAAAAACGACCATATATTCAAGCATTTCGAATAACAAATAACCATAGCTTTCCTTTTATGGCAATGTATGCAGTTCTTTTTCTTTGAGAGCAGCATTCGGTCTTGGGATACTTTTGGTTATTGAGCTTAATACATTTCGACAGCTTCATGTAATGAGAAAAAAACGGTTTGACAGAAGATGCATTTAATTGTGTTAAGATTTAAGACAGTCAAATCCATTCCTTGCTATGACAATTTACACAATCTGCCTCTGATGGAATTCATTAAATGCACCTTCTTAAATCTTCCAATGAGAAAAAATAAAACCATTACACTTTTGAAATCTCCTTTCAAAACACTAAACATTTTAACACTCTTTTTACAGTAACCAGGAACATTCTGACTCAAATTCAACATGAAGGGCTGAACATTTTGGATTTGGGCTGAACTTGTAATCACATACTTTCCTACTATATAGTAAGTGAAAATCAGAATATTAAATGAGTAGTGTTTCTAGATTCAGCACCCATATGACCTACTACTGGCGAGATTCTGAAGTGTGCATCCAACGGACACTTTACTATCCCATGAGGCCACAGAAGAGGAGTTGTCAATAGCAGTGAATAAATGACAAAGACAACATGATAATGTATGGATTATTTTTCATCCTATATAGAATTTACTTTTTTACAGTCATAAAATAATCACTCATTCAAAAAAGAAGTACCTACTCAGAAAGCAAACAATTTCGGATGCAGCCTAGGTCTGTGTAAAGTGATATATAGTCACACCTGTAGTACTCAGTACTCTTGCAACAGATAAATCATGTACCGTCACCTTTTCTGAGGCCTTACTCAAATAACCTTGAATCCAGCATGACCTGCAGCACAGTTCAAAAAGTTTTGCCGATACAGGGTTCCAAAAAAACGACTGAGTGACTTTATCGACCCAGGACATCATTCACTAGCTTCCCCTCATTCATTTTTTAAAATTAGACATCAACCTTTCAAGTATTCCTAAATCTAATCATTATAAACAATATAACAAGAACAAATCTATTTTATAATATTTTTTTTGAATACCCAAGGCATGTAAACGTGAATCTCACGGCCCACAACAGAACCAGAAGACAATACAATGCTGAATAAACACATAGTTTTTGTTATTTTTGGACCAAAATGTATTTTCCATGCTTCAAAACTAGGGCTGTCAAGCGATTAATCGCATCCAAAATTAAAGTTTGTACATAATATATGTGGGTGCACTGTGTATAATTATTATATATATATATATATATATATAAAAATACACACACATGCTTGTATATATTTAAGAAATATTTTCATGTATATATACTGTATATAGATTTATATATAATTTATGTGATATGTAAATATAAATATTTTATATATATAACTAATATTTTTTTCTTAAATACACATGCATGTGTGTGTATATATATATATATATATATATATATATATATACACATACAAAATAATTATACACACTGCACCCACATATATTATGTAAACACAAACTTTTATTTTGGATGTGATTAATCGCGATTAATCGTTTGACAGCCCTATTCAAAACATTTTAACTAACCCACTGATGTCACATGGACTACTTTGATGATATCTTTATTTCCTTTCTGGACAAAGGTATATCGTAAAAACATTTTCAATGGAGGGACAGAAAGCTCTCGGACTAAATCTAAAATATCTTAAACTGTGTTCCGAAGATGAACGGAGGTCTTATGGGTTTGGGAGGACATAAGGGTGCGTCATTAATGAAATAATTTTCATTTTTGGGTGAACTAACCCTTTAAGGTGGCACTGTCTGAAACACAAAAGGTAACAAAATATGCTTATTTATTCTTTTGTAATTGTCATTAAAATATCAAGAGAGTTTTATACTATTGCAGCAGTTAGAGATCCATTTGTGTCGTTAAAGATTAAAGAATATGTAATAAGAGTTAATAGGCAAGTTCTGCATTATGGTAGCAGCTGTCTGCCATATGCATCTCATCTGTGTGACATTGTGAGATCTCTCACAGTAATGCTGTTTTTGCACTTCATAAATGTAAAATGCTATAAAACTGAAAGAAAAATGTGTGTTGTAAAATTGAGTTTGTGTAATGCTCAAAGTCTCTGTGTGTTACAACACCACTTTCTTTGAAACACTGTGGGAGTGTGGCCACTGGGCTTACCACGGGATCAGAGGACAAACGGTATTAAAGCTTTCCTTGATTTTGGATAGTCTTCAAATTTTGTCAGATACCACCTGTAAAATGAAATGGCACATTTCAAACAACAATCTGTCATACTGATATCAAAATATTTATTATTATAGAACATGTCTAGGTCATAATTCACCCTAAAAAAATAATAAAATATTATTTTAAGTCATTATGAAATCAGATTTTATCATTCGTATTTTTATATGTAATATTGTAGTGTTTATTATAAATGATTTATCTGTGCATTTCATTATTGTTTTAAAATTCATGTACCCTTATAACCTTTTATCAAATACGTTATACGTTAAACTCTCGGATTAAATCTAAAATATTTAAAACTGTGTTTCAAAGCTGAACAGAGGTCTTACAGGCTTGGGACGACATGAGTCATTAATGATATAATTTTTATTTTTGGGTGAACTAAACAGTATGTCATTGTAGTAGCTGTTGAAATTCCTTTATGTTAATTGAAATCAGTTATTTATTATATCATATTACAGTAATGAGAATCTAATAATCATTGGGAAAATTAAAATTACTCACAAAAAACATCTACAATTTATGGGGGGGGGAAATGTGCTTAACTGTGGAGAAAATCTTTATCTGAAAAAATGTATCTGATCTGATCTTAAACAGGCTTCATCTTTTTTAAAACAATTATATTATTAAAATATATATTTATATTTCTTATGAATTAAATCAGACATATGAGAATTAATAAATTAGAATTGTAAGCATTTTTTGTTGTTGTTTTTTTAAAATAATTTCAGTCACATTTAGAAAGAATCCATTGATTCAGACTGTAATGCCTTACTTGTGGTGGGCCATTCCTCTGCTGGACAGCACACTAAGAGTGAAGATAACGAAAGCTGCACTATGGACCGAGTGACCGGCCAGAGCAAATCCAGCCCATTCCACAATCTCACCAAAGAAGTTCGCTCCAGATACATACTCAAACATGCCCCCTATGAACAGAAAAGCAATAAAGCAATAAGGAACAAATTTGCAAAGCAATAAGAAACAAATGTCAAGTCAGTTTTAAAGCAGTGAAACATCACAATCACATGTGTCTAAAAAGTGTGAAACCATCTGACCAACATGCTGTCTGATTTAATTTGTCAGAAATAAAGCATGTCGGATTCATCATGTCAGTCATCACTTCTGCATCAAATAAAACAAGAACAAGCTTTTGGATCTGAAACAACTTTGACACACCACACTAATTTAAAATCCCTTTGTTTTGGCTAAAAAACATCTTCTATCAGTCAATTCACTTTTTTTTTGAAGGCTGAGTGACTTGCTGAAAAAAGCATGATTTTTTTTGATAATATCATCTGAAGTTGTGATGTCAGACTGCTTTAAAGGGATACTCCACCATTTTTTTATATTAAACTATGTTATTCCCTTTGTCGAGTTAGACTACTTGTGAAACTGTATTTAAATAAGGATAACGTGGAGGTGTTTGGTCGCTTCTCTGCTTGGCCCGTATTGAATGAACTGGGCTAGTTAAGTGCTATCAAAGTGTCTCGCGCAGCAGAGCGATTGAGTGGTGGTGTGCATCAACTCGTCTTAGTTAAGGGAATAACATAGTTTAATATGAAAAAACGGTGGATTATCCCTTTAAAATACTTTTAATAAAAAAGAAAAGGTTAGTGAAATAAGAGATGATTTACATGATTTATATTTTGCATGGACTGAGTGTTTAGGAAAAGAAATAGAAGTGCATGTCACAAATGATTATGATCTCTAGAGCTGGTTGGTCCTGACAAGTTGCTGAGGAAATGAGTCATGACCAGCAAGGACATCTATTTTTGTTTTCATTCCGAGTCAAAGCCAAATTCAAAAGATGTTTTAGCATTACGTCAACACTCAAACCAGCACTGAAGGGGACGCCCTAGCGTTGACCGCCCATTTGAGCTGAATGCATGTGGTATGGTTCAGGTGGTATACATATTGGCACTGTGCCTTTATGAACATTTTATGAATTGTATTTAAATAGTGTGATTGAGTCAAAACAGACTTTTCCTAAAATCTAAAGATGGATGCCATGTTCCTAAAAATGTCACTCAAAATGTTGTGATTGTTTTATAATTATGTGGAACATGGTAAAGATGCTAAGCACAAAACATTTTTGTTCATTTCAATTGAACTATTTAGGAGACATTTCTCTCTCTAAAATATTTCAAATTCATAAATGGTGCTGTCAGTCTAAACATTCTTACCTCTAGGTATCTTATAGCCCGTCTCTCCAGGCTTGCGAAGGTTCCTGAGGATATGGTCAGAGTGAATGTTAATGATCCATCCCAGGAACCACATACAAGAACCTGAAAAACAACAACGCATAATAGATTCAGAATATGAAACACTCGGCACAACTGTTTTCAACATTGATAGAAATCTGATTGATCTTGAGCAGAAAATCAGTAGGATCATGTGACACTGAAGACCAGAGTAATGATGCTGAAAATTAGCTTTGCCATCGCAGGAATAAATTAAAATTTACAATATATTCACATGAAAATTTTATTTTTATTGTGAATTATAGACCATTTTGCACTGGTCCAGAAACACTTCCTGTTTCAGTTTGTAACTGTTTTCTTTATTTCACTTGTAAAGAAAAAATCTTAAAGATGTTTGTTTAACTTTTTGATTCAGTTTTACATGTTCTGTTGGTTGTATTTTATCCCAGCTTTTATGTAGTGTTAAACAACTGAAACAGGAAGTGCTTCTGGACCAGTTTTGTTTACATCTTGCAAAATGGTCTATAATTCACAATAGGAAGAAAGGACCATTACAATGTCTGAATGGTTGAAAGAAATCAACAATAGATTCTATCATATATGAAAGAGAATAAGATAGTAGGATGATTGACAATGACACTTATACACTGTGAACAATTACTCACTAGCACCTACCTGTGATGAAATAGGGATGTGTAACCCAATCAGGTGGGTAATCTGCATAGTGACTCAGGTATCTTGCCTGCAGATACCCATTATAGATGCAGAAGACAAAGGCCAGAGCAAACGAGATGAATGGTGTTGATTTTCCTCCTCGAATTAAAAATGGGTAGATGAGGGACCTAGGAGAAATACATGTTTAGGCTAACAAAAAGTTGCCAGTTGCAACTTGCAAAACAATATAAGATCATTTACTGACACATGTATGGACCTTTCCCCACCCCCACTTTATATGTTGTACAATAAAAACAAAACCCTACCTTTGCGCGTAATGGCAACAGAACATGAGAAGAAGCAATTGGTTGGGCAGGTGCATTAGCTTTGCACAAGGACTCCATAGTACCAAACACAAAGGCACCAGAAAAGCCGGCAATTCTTGAACGAACCAGGCGAACTTGACATTTACAGGGAATCCATACCTGCTGGATGCATATCTGCCGTATGGCACGTGCTCAAAGAGTAAAGTCACAAAAGTTATGAACGCCATCACCATCATCAAGTACGATAAACAATCCAGAACGTACCGTTCTTCCTCCTCCGAAGAAAATAATATCTTCAGAATAGCGTCCATAGTTGCTTATGGAAATTATACTTATGAGCAGAAGAAAGTGTGTAACTTCATTCTCGTGCACAAACGGACTCCATGGAAATCTGGGAGACCCGCCCATCTAACGTTACGTTACTTGTATTTGGGCGGGGCATCTGTCAAAACCATGGATAAAACACGCCTTCATTATGCAAGTAAATGAATTCTAACAAATAACGTTAGTACAGCAAGAAACAAATATAAATGAAATGTAAAACCAATTTTGTAGTGTTTCTGAAAAAATGCAGAAAAACAAACTTTTTTTAAGATTTCACGGTTGAAACCTTTGCTGAATCCTCAAATTTTAATTATGCAGATTTTTTTGTGTTATTTTTATATGGCACTACATTTATTTGGATTGAATGTCAAAGGTTTAAAATAAATACTACTGTATTTTGAATTTAAATTCGCCAAAGAAGCAAAGAACGAGTCTTTCAGTCGGGCAATATTGCGGACACCAAAGAAGGGGTCTTTCATTCAGTTGGATATGCGCTTGTTTGGACTGCGTCACACACACGTGAATTGAATTCAGCAGGAGCTGAGGAGTACAGTTACTTAGACAGTATTAATATAATCAACAACACGCAACGCAGGTTTATATCCAGAGTTGTATGCGTCTGTAACATGGGCAGAAGAAATAGAAACAGACAAAAACCTCAGCAGTTCAGAGATGGAAGACCCGAGGCGAAAAGGAGCAGAGATGATGCTGTGAGTTTGCTAACTGCTCTAGCTTCTTACTTTTCTGCTCAGTGCCAATGCTGCACATTCACTTAAAAATTTAACATATGCTACATTGTAAATAAGTTACTTCATATAGTCCCATTAAAATGATTGTGTGTGTGTGGGTATGCAATATTGTGGTTAATGGGATGTGGGTAGTGATAGTACTTTTATACTCTTTGCACGTTTTGCAGGGTTGGGGAGCTGGATACTCTGAGATCGTCAAGGAAAACAAACTCTTTGAGCATTACTACAAAGAGCTGAAGATTGTCCCAGATGGAGAGTTTGAGGAGTTCATGGAGGCCATGAGGGAGCCACTGCCAGCTACAATACGAATCACAGGATACAAGAGGTGATTGACATTTTCTGCAGGTCCAAACGTTTTACATTACACGACAAACCTGTTAACTGCCAGTGAGTCTCCTAGTATAGTACAAAGACACTTGGCATGGTTTTTTTATTACCTCTTTTCCCTATAACATATTTTAGTAATCATCAAAAGTTTAAAGGGGTCATGAACTGGCTTTTTAAATATTATTATATTGTTGTCTGAGGTCAACTTATGATGGTCGCTTGGTTTTTACATTCAAAAACATCAAAATGAATAAGTAATAGGCTATTTTGTACCCAAGTTGTGAGTTTACCTGAAAAACGCTCGGTTTTTGTGGGCGTCTCGCACTGAAGACTTGGAAGTAAACTCTTGGAAGAGAACGATGCAATTAAACAATAATGTTTTTCCCTTTTTTTACTCCTTAAATAATCAGTCATGCAAAAGAAATCCTTCATACTCTTAAAGAGAAATACTTCAAAGAGGTACAAGATCTTGAGGTGGATGGGCAGAAGATTGAGGCTCCTCAGCCCCTAAGTTGGTAAGACGGAAAATAATTTGCTTGTGTACGTAATCTGTAGAACAGAGTATTTCAGATCTGATTTTTACTCTCATGGTGTTATCATCAGGTATCCTGATGAACTTGCGTGGCACACTAATCTGAGCAGAAAGATCTTACGCAAGTCTCCTCTCCTGGAGAAATTCCACCAGTTCTTGGTCAGCGAAACCGAATCGGTAAATACAATTTTTGGTGCACTTCTCCAAGGCGTGTGTCTGCAGATATTCAATAGTGTGTATACTAAGGTTGGGAGAGAAAAATCGATCATCATAATTCTGAGCTTCATTTTAACTACAGGTGTGTGGTGATGCTGACACATTTCTCCATTCTTGGGTCAATTTTTCAAAATTTACAGATGTAAAGAAATTTCACAAAAGAAAACATTGTATAAAGCCTCTGGATGTTCGTGTTTTTAGGTCATTTGTTTTATGAGTGACAGGGTTTGTTAGTTGACAACCATTGCTAGTGTTATGGAAGAATGAGTTGATTTGAGACATGTATGAATAGTTTTGGTAGTTGTATATTTTGAATGTGAACTGCTGTGCTGAGCCGAAAGTTGTTTGGGAGGTCTATATGAAAGTTGAGTTTTAAAAAAGTATTAAGAAATGTGTCCTTGCGTTTATAAAAAATAAAATAATGCAAATATATTATGTTTTTTGATCTCCATCAGGGTAATATCAGCAGACAGGAAGCAGTCAGTATGATTCCTCCTCTTCTTATGAAAATCGATTCTCAACATAAGGTACATCTTCAACAACATCATCACGGGTTTCCTTGAATGTCAAATGAATGTTTTCTCTATATGCGTGTTCTTCTCTAGCATTTTTTTTAAAGTAATTTGTCTCATCTCTGTGATCTTTCTGGATTTTATAACCAGATTCTGGACATGTGTGCTGCCCCAGGATCCAAAACTGCTCAACTAATTGAAATGCTTCACGCTGATATGGATGTGCCTTTCCCAGGTAAAGTGTTGCTCATTAGTATGTGTACATATAAAATGCTTTCAATACAGATGTAAGATGATCTTCATATCTTATAGTTGTCCTCCGTCTCTTTTGTGTCTCTAGAGGGTTTTGTAATTGCCAATGATGTGGATAATAAGCGCTGTTACCTGCTGGTCCACCAGGCCAAGAGATTAAACAGTCCATGTATTATGGTGGTAAACCATGATGCATCTAACATTCCACGTCTGCACTTTGATCAGGACGGGAAGAAGGAGGTCCTGTTTTATGACCGGATCCTGTGTGACGTACCATGCAGGTTAGGAATTTTATGATGAGAGTCTCTCCTTTACCAATGTCTTTAATAACTTTTTGCGGCCGGCAAGTTTTAATGCCTCAAGAAGCCCATCAGGAAAAACATAAAATGCTGTGTTTATCTTTCTGCAAACTTTGCGGAAGATTCAACCTGATGGGGTGGTTTCTAAACTTGCTTACATGTAATTATCGGTTGCTTAAAGCTACACTGTCTCTAACTCTTTTATTTTACTCTTAGCTAAAAACACTTAGTTCTTTCAAAAATATATGTGCTCATTAATGTATATTTACATTGTTCAAGTAATAAAGTATTCTCGTGAGTGTATAATATGCCATTGAAAATACATACGGGTAAGGGTTGTCATGTTGCCCCTCCATCTTGAATGTACATTAGCCAAAGAGGGACATACCTGTTAATACAAGTCGCGTTTACGTTTGAGTTAACACTCATGGACGAGGTCGAACTGGAAGCCATGTTAATCTTGGACTACATTGGCCACCGTAGGAGTTAAAACAAAATCGGAATTGAGAGGAACAGAAACTAATATTCACTGGATGGTCATATACCTTTTCACCACTAGATGGGGGTAAAAATCACACAGTGTAGCTTTAAATATTGTCGTCAGATGGTCAAACAGCAACGATACACATTAAACAAAGTTGGAAATGCATATAAAACCACAAAAACTGCAGATTTTCTTAGCCATTGTGTGTTGCCATACCAAAAATAAGAATGCTGTTGTACAGAGACATGTTGAGATTATGTAAATATAGTGATCACAATAATAGAGGCACACATAAATGCCAATGCTCTGTGTTTTCGGTTGAGCAGTGAGTCTCTTCCCAGCATGTAACATCATATAACAGAGTAAGTTTCTAATTGGTGGAGTCTATACTTGGCCTGCAGCAGAATCAGGTGCCAAGCACAATAAGGTCTGCTCAGTACCAGCATGCCAAACATCTTACACACACACAGTGTGGTCAGTCTGGTTTTGCTGTGTTAACTTTTTCTGTCCGTCGATGAAATGATTTGAAGTTGACTTTAAACGTGTAATTATGGTTTGTGTTTTTGCCCATAGGACTGTAGTTTCCTTGATTTGAAATTTGCTGCCTTGTTAACCAACCATCAGTTTCACTGATGTAATTGATTTTAAAAATACCATATGATCTCATATGACCACAGGAACTGTCTTTAGTTATCAAGTCTGGTTTAAAATTACTTAGAGGAAATAAATGTGGTGATGACAATTTTTCATCTTTGCTTTATTGTGAAGAACCACTAATTATAAGTCTGCTTTATGCCTGACAGACACATGAAGTGATCTGATATGGAGTTACAGTTAAACTGCAAACAATAAAATCAGCACCTTTATCTATACAGTGGAGATGGAACAATGAGGAAAAACATTGACGTGTGGAAAAAATGGACAACCAGCAACAGCCTGCAGCTCCATGGGTAAGACCACTTGGGCTATGTCCAGAATATTGGGGTGGGTGATTTCACGATATGAGAAATTTTATTTCAAAATATAGTGATGTATATCATGATGGTTTTTTTCTTTTCTTTCTTTTTCACCTTACATTTCATAAAAAAAAAAAATGAAAGATCATATTTCCATGCAGCATTTCTTACAGTGACAACAGAGAAAAACAATAGAATAATAGAAATAAAAAACATAAAATTGGCCAACACTAAATGTATATATTTTTAACGTTAAATAAGAAATTAAGATGACAGAAAGAAAACACTGAATCCGTTTGAACAAAGCTTTCAAAAAACCTGCAATTTTTTTTTCTGTTTATCTAATATTTTCCGTTAAATGTAAATGGCATGAATGTGAAACCATAGTAAAAACAATTGCCGTTGATTGACGCCAATCGGATGTTCATGTTTTTTTTTTTTTTTTTTTTTTTTTTGAGTTTTGGACATTTTGGAGTTCTGTTGTGTTTGAGCTATTCATGTTCTGCTGAAAATCAGTTTTATACTGAATCAGGCCTGATTGCTCTTAATCTTTTCCTGTTTAAATAAATAAATAAATAAATCTTTTTTTTTTTTCATCTATTTGAAAGTTAGGCTAATAAACATGTTGTATTCTATACGGCAAGTTTCATAGCCTGCCTCCAGATTTTAACTTAGGTGATATTTGAATGGCATTTCACCAAAATGTTGGTATAACGAAAAACTCTGACGTCACATTTTTTTTCTAGCGGAAACTCTG